TTCCTTATGACTTCAAGATGTTAAGTCATATACAGTGGTCAATATATTATAGTTTATTATACCTTTTTATCGTTTGATCTTTATCAAGATCCATGAAATGTTAATTATGGAGTAATGTGTGAGCATGTAACCAAGGATGGCTAAATTTGAATGAATAACAATGACAAGGAAAGTGTTTCAGCATTTTTCAATGGTGAACAAATTTAATTCTATTAACCATACATTATACTTGATTCAAACTGGTAGCATTGAAGGTAAAAAACTGAAGATGTTATCATATGTTTTCAATGAAAGACCATGGAGTTTATAAAGTAAATGCAAGTGGCTTGAGCAACAAATTCCCAGATTGAAATCGCTGTTCTGGTCCACTCCCATGATCATCACCAGCTTCATGACTTTAATTGCTATTAATTTTTCTCTGGGGCTATGTAAAATTCCAAATTGTTAGTATTAAATTGAGGGACCTTGAATCGAAATGGTTAATTGTGAATAAAATTCAACAATTATGGAGACACTATTTGTCAAGAGTGACATAATTTTAAATTTCATTTGCCATTTCGTATTGGTGAAAGTGATGCTGATTCAGAACAATTATTTTGAGTGCTTTGAGCATAGATGTTAAAATTTGATGCAAATTGCAATATCGCACAAATATTAATAAATGTAATTTTTGAAACCCTACAAAGACAAATTAAAGTTTAGCAATTTTCATTGCTATTGGCTAGCATTGAAATGTTGCAAGAAGCCCATTGTGTATCATGATTCCTTTGCTAGATATTCTAATGGAACAGGTTGAATTTTGTGGAAATTTATGGAATCCATAGTCCATTTATAGTGATAATTCAAACCGGAGGTCCGGAGGTCAAACCTATAGCGTGCGCGATTCTGGGCTGCTAGCTAGGCTGAGCGACAATGTCGCTCAGCCTAGCTAGACAATTTGTGTATGTGTGTGTGTGTGACAGCTCTACAGGCCAAAAGGTTAGATATGTGAACTTGGGGTTTCGATAGTCCTTTTCCTTACCACCCGAGGATGCGCCCTTTCGAAATGAAATTTGCAAATCGGCCATAAGAAAGGGAGGGAAGGCAATTTTTAATAGGAAATCGGTAAATAACTCTCGTCTCGCCATATTTTGGATTAACTTGGAAAGCGAAACGAGAGTTGCCATGGTTCTCAAAAGGGAATGCTGCGTCGCTCACTTCAGCGCCTCCCACCTGCTGCCGTGAATCCAGGGATTTCAAGGGTGCATGAGGAAATATTGGGCGATACCTCAGTTCGTCACCACATGCGTTCACACGGGCTTTCGTAAAGAAACCCAAAACCCTAATTTCCTCGTTTGTTCCGTTGGCTCCAAATGCTGATTTGTGGAATTGCACGAATAACGCAAGGCGGTCGGCGAGAGGGAGAGTTTTTTAAAGGGTTGGATTGTTCTTCCGTATCGCAGTCGCATTGGTAGATGGCAAAGAAATGCAGGTGTATTGTTTGGGACCCGAGATCTTCCAAAAAAAAACAAAAAAACAAAACAAGAATACGGTTATTTGCGGATCGTCGCTGTGCTGTGTGTTGCATCTTCCTTTATTTTCCTAACTAGTAGGTAGGCCCGTGCCAAAGCGCGGAAGCATTTAAAGGCTATGAATGCACATACGAGCCATGGGAGGCAGTCGCCACATTCCCCTCCCCCCTCCCCCCTCCCCCCCTCTCCCCCCTGGCTGGCCATGTGAGAAGACAGGACGTTGCAAAAGCACCCCTAATTTCTCGGTCTGCCTCTGCGCTTCGTTACTCGTCATTGCGAAGGACGGGGAACCTACGCCGATCGAAGACGAAGGGTAACCCAAAGATCAAGGCGTTACCTTATATCGTCGCCTCGTAGGACAATTGTGGTATGTGGGCTTTTATTGGCGGCCTCACGCTACTCACATTGCAACCCGCCGCGCACGTTTCTGAACATTAATGGCCTTATGCCACGCTAGGTGTACTTGTTAGTATGGCTATGGGAGAGCCAATGGGCTAAGAAATAACTAGAAATGGTGCACCCATAGGAACAGTATAGGCATGCGTGCTGCAATTGAAATCCATACTTGGACTCATTGCCCCTAGTCACAATTCACTCCTATTGGATTTATTATTGGATTGGATTTTTCAACTCAACTTTCTTTTAAATACTAGTACTAACTCTATGGAAAACAGCCCCGACACATTAGGCACAATAGGTTCTCAGAAGAACCAGTAAGTCCTATCGAGTCGAGGAGTTAGAGAAACTGGATGCTTAGGGCGCCGCCGACGTCGTCTTTCCGATCCAAGAGTAAGGGCTTCTGTACCAAACAGGTGGGATCCCGCCGTTTTCACCCTTGGGAGTCACTCCTTGTGAGGAATAAAAGGATGGGGTTTCGATTGATCCTGTTGGGATCCCGATAAGTATATGGGCAGAGATTTCATACCGGCGAGGAAGTCATCCTTCATTCAGAGACGAAAGAGGACTCCAAGTGTAATAGGCTGGGACGTTTTACACGTCCCTGCGAAAAAGTACATATTGGACTCCTCAAGGTATAGAGCGTGCCTAGAATGCCTCTCACTCCCGTTGCTATGTTAGGGATGGCATGGTAGCACACTCAACCGGCAAATCGGAGGCCCTGGAATCGATTGTCGCCCCCTCCATCTTTTTCTTTTCGTCCTCTTATGTCATCCGAACTCTTCCCCCATCCCCCGGGCTATTACGTTCTCCAGAATAGATCCCACAATCGCAACGGCCAGAAAAAAATGCAAGCCCAAGAGAGAGAGACGTAAACCCAGAGGCATGTAGAAGACTCTATGAGGAGAGCGCACACGATCGCGCTGAGCGCACGCTTTTGTCACGTTTGAGCGCGCACGCCCCGAACCACTGACCACGACCACCACCAGGGACTACAGTACATTTTATTTTATAGATGACACTAGCGGCCTGCGGTGCGACTGCGACTAGTATGTGGGAATTTGAATCGTCTATTGTGAGCATAACGTCTTCTTGACAATCCTCTGTTCATTGCATTACCCATTCGGAACTGAACCGCTTCATTACATTTACATACATACAGCTTACAGTACACAGGGATATTCTGCTCCTAAACACCATCATGATATTCGAGCTGATTGTCGCAATCGCCATTGTGAACGCCTCGGTTTACCACGTTTCATGAGACTCAAGACGACATTGCTGATTTCGTCTTCCCAATACATTCAACACTCTTGCATCACCGATTAGCTCATCGGCTATTAGCGTTAGCGTATGTTACGGACACCAATGATGCTAAAACAGTACGGACCGTTTCCAAGAAACTGTTCGACGGCACAGAGGGAAGTTAGTGCATGTGCGGCACAATGCTAAAGACTAATTCCTGAAAATGCCAACCTTGCATCAAGTTNGGTACACTCGCCCCTTCAGGTACCCCCAGAGAAAGAAATCAGGCGGTGTTAAATCCGGCGAACGTGGGGGCCAAAGTCCCTTGGAGATAACCCTGTCATCGAAGAAAGCCTGAATTTCAGCCATGCTGACCCGTGATGTATGGCACGTGGCACCATCCTGCTGGAAGTAGCCCATGGTGACTTCTTCGTCGTCCAACTGGTTGACAAAAGCATGGAAGATTTCAATATACACAGCTGTGGTGACAGTGTCGTGGAAAAAGATGGGACCGATTATGCGACGTCGTGACATCGCACACCAAACACCAAGCTTTTGGGGATGAAGCGGCTGCTAGTGTACTGCATGAGGATTGTCAGTGGCCCACAGACGGGTGTTCTGGGAGTTGACATAGCCAGATAAGTGGAACCACGCCTCGTCAGAGAACCACGTGTAATCCAATATGCCAGGATGTTCTGCGATAAATGTTTCGAACCACTGACAATATGCAACCCTCTCTTGCTGATCTGGGGGTTTCAATTCGTGAACCACAGTGACACGATATGCATGAAGCTGAGCTGCTTTTGCAGCCCGTTGACATGAACTTTTGGACAAACCCGACTCCTGCGCAAGCCTGCGCAAGGACTTCTGTGGTGATGCCAGAAGTCTGTTCTTCACGTCCTGGACGGTGTTTGCTGACATTTTTGGACGTCCTCCGCCATGGACATCCAACAACGTACCCGTAGTTTCTAATTTCTTTGCCAGGTAGAGAATGCAGTGTTTTGATGGCAGCTGTCGTCCTCCAAACTTCTTCGTAAATTCTTTTTGACATGTCTTTATCGATTCACTTTTCCAGTATGTGCGAACAATGAAGACGCGTTCCTCCACGGTGTATCTGTACATTTTTTAGGGTTCACGGACGTAAACTGCAGAAGCACTTCTTACTGTGTACTGTATGGACAGTCTGAGCGGAATGACTTCAGGTGCGCATATCGCTTCCTCGTCTATTGCAAATAAACGGGCGCCGTGGAGGCCAGACAGTCGCTTCGCCAGGAAGGCGCGACTTCTCCGCCTGCTATCCCGGTTTTCTGGGGCCCACAGTGCGACCAAGCACATCATTTTGATTGTCATAGAGTAAGGTACGTGAAGTTCAAATGTCGCTTTAACACGTTCAAAAGTTTAAAAGTTATTTGCCCTTTTTCGGGTACCAAAGCGAGTGGGACACCCTGTATTTTCCTCAAGCATATCATTGGCATCCATTTAACACCGGCTGAAAGAAAAAAGTGTCGCACAACCGAAGATAGATGGAGTCAAAGTAGTTACTATAACGGGCCAATTCCTGATACAATTAGTCCACAATACTTTCAGCAATGTAGCTGATCTTTCTCGACATAAACCAGAGCGGAAAATGCTCAAGTTCTTGAACAAATCCGTCATTAGAGATATCCCAATCCAAGGAGTCTCCAGAGAACTCAGGCTCGAACAATATGGGGATGATGGTTCAATTTCCAAGGTGACTTCATGAAAATATATTCAGCATTCATAATCATATCTCTCATAAAAAGAGGTTTCGGTGGAGGGAATGTTTGACTCCTGAATATAAGATATCTGCAGATGGCATGAAAAAATATGCGGTAAGACTGCATTACCCAACGCTTCTCCACCAGACTATCCCAGCCAGTCTACCAGTACCTTCAATCGGCCACATTATGGTTTCTAACACCAGCCACGTGAGTAGGGCTCCAATTAGACCAAATGCAATTTAAGTGATGAAAATAGCGTATCAAAAACGTTAATTCCATATCGGATAAATCCTAAAAAGTAAAGTTATGAACACTTTCTATGGAAATATCCAATTCAAGTTAGTTCAGTGAACTCATGAATTGGACTGTTTTTCAATGCTGTGAATTTTTAACATTTGGGCAGTCAATAGAACGTTCCCAAGGACGTTAGTGGAACGATGTCATTAAGTTGAATGAAACGTTCATTGAACATGTTCGGGTGCTACTAGGGTGGTAGTCTCTGAACATCATGGTTCCACGGCAACAGATCCTTTCGTTTCCTCCAGTTTGCAGCAGGTTTACCTACCACTAGTATAAAAAGGTTCAGTTCAGTATTCGGATGGAGCTAGGCTTTACCTTTCGGTCAATTCCGAAAACTCCATTTTAGCACAAGGACAAAGGCAGCCTTTTGACCCTAAGGGGAACTTTTCTTTACATAGCTTCTAACTTTGAGTTTCAAAGTCTTCACAACCGTTTGTGCTAGAGCGCTGAAATTATGATTTTATTTCATAACTCAGGGATGTCATAATGCATGCTTTTTTTTAAATCAAACCCCTATCGATGACGCACCCGATAGCTCGATCACTTGAGCTGGAATGCCTCATAGATGGTAGGGATCAGCTGATTCAAAAAGTATTGCAGGAATGGGAAAAATACGTGTTTCTTGTAACTGAGCATCGGTAGCTGTGACATTGAACTTTTCTGGAAATTTTCTGCCATTTTTATTTGTGGGTTTCATACTAATTTCAAAGGTAAAATTTTAGCTGATTAACTTCATTCCGCGTTTTTTGCTTCAGTGATATAGTTATGGTGGTTTTTGATTCTTCTTTTAATTGTGAGTGAATTGACACCATAATCAAGGCTTTAGCATAAGCACTTTTTAAGTTATTGAATACATTATCAAAATCGGGGATTAGAAGGTGACCTTAAATTTTGACCACCCTGTAGTATGTGACATCCCATCCCAATGAAGCCGAAATGTGGTATGTCCTTGTTTCATGACATAATAAACCTTGCATGCCAAATTTAATAAAAATCGGAGGGGGTCGGGGGTTACCCATTGGGTGATATTCCAAGGATTCACCCAAAGGACATCGTTGAGAACCAACAGACTGTTTATTCTGATCCAAGAGAAAGCACTAAAGAAGTAGCATCGGGGAAAGAAAAAGACAATGGACTTTTAATTCAGTTAATCAAGTAACATGTTATATTTAGTGCAAGCCTACCTAGGACGTCTGCTGTTCTTATGTAGATAGGTCGCATGGGATGTACTATGTAGATAGGTCGTGCATGCGATCCACTTCGGGTGTAACAAAATGTCAACAGATATAAATAAGTTCTGAAGTGGACTACCCGCAAAATGTTGGAAAGGATACATCACATGAAAATAGCTCGTACTGCATGAATAGGTTACCAAGAGTGATATATGTTTCAACTGTGAGAGTTGGGGTAGGAGTGTCATATTAATGTATTGATATCATGGTTACGTTTTACATGGGCATTACCGCTGGCACGGTCAATATGTCTCAATTTGTTTTCCTTCAGTTCGGTCAAAGGCCAAAGAGTGAGAAAGTCAATCTGCTTTGGGAAATGATGGGTCAGCTGGGTTAGAAAAGAGTTGCGGCCTTCGGCCACGATTATTTTCTAATCCAACTGTTCCATCATCCCCAAATTAGGCTGACATTCTCGCTCGTTCGGCCAAACATAGAAGGCTCATTTGATCTGCCTTCATCCTGTTTTCTCTGAGGTTAGTTAGTTAGGATATACAGCAAAATCCCAAAAGCACTGAGTCAAAAACTTAGAGGGACGAGCATTCGTGTGTTTCAGTTTTTCTTTGGTAGAGTACAGGGCATTTGTCATGCTGACCGCAGGCACGGGGAAGCTGGGAAAAGAGAACGAAAGAATGCTAGAGCACAAACGGGAATTGAACCCAGGACTACTTATCGCTGGTTAGGTGGGCTACCGTTACACCACCGAACCGAGACCGTAAACGAATTGTACGAGATCACACATATGGCTTTCAGCTTCAACGAAAACCAGCACTCTCGCCCTTCCTTTAACGTGGTTACCCCATGTTTTACGTGCGCGTGCAGGCCACTTCATGTCTATCCTACGACACAAGCTTCTTCGAATTAAAATTACTTTTTTTCTCTCATATTTCTCAGATAAAATATGGACCAACGAAATCTACTCATCGAGAGCTCATGATTCAGATATCACATACACCATTTGATGGGTGGTCCACTTCAAAAGTCTTTCTCTCATGAATCATTGTTAATTACCAGTAAGAACAGTTTAATTAGCAATCAGATGTAGAGGGCATCGTTGAGATCCAAGAGACTAGGCAGTCTCTTCGATCTCAACGATGCCCTCTACATCTGATTCGTTGTAAGAGAGAGCACTAAAAAGTCACCATCGAGGAAATAAACCAATTAACTTCTTAATTATTCATCAATTCTCACATGTTTGTGCAAAGTTTCAGACCATGAAAATCATTATGAAACCACTTTCACCTTCACAGGATTTCTCCTTCGTCTTTAGGTGATACGGTAAACTGCGTAATATACCAAGTATATGTAGATGGTGCATTGTGGCTATTCATTTCACTTCGAATGATGCCTGCCCGTTCCTCTTTCTAATCCCCGTTAATCCTCAACCAGGGGTCGAATTTTGGGGCTGAAGGTATCTCCGCATCCGTGTCCGTTTGAAAGCGTGCAGACGCCTCACCTCAGTCAGGATTTTCGATCAGGAGTTCGGGATCATGACCGAATTCGTCAAAAGTCACAAATGAAACGAAGATCTCGTTTTAAACGGGCATATTTACGAACGCGATTCACTTGGAAGCAATTGGACCATACCAAAGGAGATGCATCGAGGTCAAGTCGGAATGCAAGGGAATCAGTGCAGGCCGCAAGAAGCATGATCATCCAGTTCGTCCTACGCAAGTTGGAGTCAAACGCATGCTTCACGAAGTCAAAGAGCATGTGGCCCCTCAAGTGGAAGATCCACATGCCATCGTCGCAACTTGTCATGGAGACATCTTCCTTCTGTCTCCGCCGTGAAGATGCAAGACCAACGCAGTCTAATCAGCCCGCAGCGCTAAAGTCTATAACCTATTTTCAACTGGCGGAGCCATAGGCTCAGGCCCGTATTCACGACGCTCCCCTAACCGTTAAGGGACCCCTAACTCAAGAAAGTTATGGATTCCCTAGATGATCCGTATTCACGTACCTCCCCTAGCTAAGGGATCCTTAAATCCAACTGAAGTAATAGAAGATAGGGGAGCTTCCAGTTTTCCCTCAAGAAGCTTGCGTGTTCGATCCACTCTATCACCGGCAACACTTCATACATTTTTCTCATGGCATTTCGTCACTTTTGAGAGCATCTAAGGATGGAAATCCCCCTAAAAATACATGTGTACTCTTATTTCACGTTGTCCACTTGAAGGATGATGTCGTCAAGTGAAACTCGCTGCTGCTACATAGAAAATACGGCAAAAATTTTATCTCCCACTCCAAATTTGAGAAAAAAAATCTCTGCTCTGACTATAGCTATTACCACGAAATTCGCACTGAGCCAATGCCGAAATGTTTTCAAGAGCTTTGTGGGATTTCATTGAAATGCTTTGTGGCGAGTCAAGGCCATTAGTCATATTTAAAAGGGGTTGGAATTACCCTTTGCTGGATATAGTTTTGATAATGTTCTTTTAAAATAATAACAGACCAACAGTTGTTAATACAGAGTTGGCAATAAGGCCCATATTTACGTCACTCTCAGTGAAGGGCCATATTACCCCAATGGCCATATTCCCCCAAGTTACCCTATAGTTTTGATAATATTCTTTTAAAATAATAACAGATCAACAGTTGTTAACACAGAGTTGGCAATAAGGCCCATATTTACGTCACTCTCCCAGGAACAGTATATCGTAACAGTTAGGGGACCCTTAGGTAAGGATTTCCCTAAAAGTGGTATTCATGTTGGTCTGTTAGGGGGCCCTTAACTAGGGAATCCTTTAGAAAGTTGGAAGAGAGGGCGCATGCGCTAGAATGCTTTCATCTTGGTGAACAAAAGTCAGAGGATCTCTGCTCATGAATTGATTGTTGCTTTTCTTTTTCTTCTCGAGTCTGACACTTTTTGATGACTATAATACCAAATTATAATACTCCCATGTATTAGTTCCAAGGTCAAATGAAGATGTGTCCTACTCGTCTGAAAAATGATTGTAGCTGACCTCGTGAACTCTCATTGTTTCGTCTAAAATATTCCATTGCAATGATTTTCTTCACATTAGCTTGAGTACCGGCATAGGCCCAAGCTGGTACTCAACGCTAATGCAAAAGAAATTTCTATTCAATTTTAAAATTACAATTGTACTTTTACCTGCCATCAATGCTGCATCGATGATCATTGATGCAACATGCATGACAGGAGTGGCAATCAAATGATAAATTCCAAAAGAGCATGATCAATATCAGCGGTATTCAAAAAGTGGCCCACAAAGATTAACTAATAGGGTGAACTACCCAGTATTTGGCCACACTGATACGACTCCCATAGTTTGTGGAAACTGAGTGTGCACACCAGGAAACATTATTAATAGGTCCTCGTACGGAAAAATGTAGATAGAATGCTTGAAAACGGCCAGATTAACAAATTATGCTGGATTTAAGCCTCACTGGTCAACAACTGGAGACTGGCCAAAAACAGGGGTGTTTACCCTAATGTACTAATTCACATTTTGCCGTTTTATCAGCACTCATGAATAATTGCAATGAAAAATTTTTTAAATCCCCGATTTAGAATCCTTTGCTGTAAACAGACAAGTTTAGTCATTGTTTAGATACTCAGATACTTATAATTCATGTTTACAATTAGATGCTTATGAGCATGTTTTTTGTGTGCAATAGCTGAACTTTCCTGAAATTTGGAGCATCCACCCAAACAGCATGTTTACGTAAACATGATATCAATTTTTTGCAAACAATGTAAATTTTTGCGATTGCCATGAAAATGACATCACCTTTACGTGAAATTTACGTTTCTATATTTGTCACTAAAGTGTCCGTGTATTTTACGTAAACTAGGCGTTACTCCATCTGACGTGAAGTACATGACATCAAGTTTATGCAAAGCTAACATCACACTTTCCAAATGAAACTTTAGCTGACCATCCCGCAGTTGCAATACCAAGATTCCTCACAAGATGGAACCTTTGTTCCCTGCACCCTATAAATGCTTTCCTACTGGCCTCGTACTGGCTTTCCCGATATAGTATCAGGTTTTCTTACCATCCTCTCACTTTGTATCATGCAATCCATGAAAATATATATGGAAAGCAGGAAATTATTACATATTTTTTATAATATATTACTCGGGGAACCATTAAATGCTGAAGCTAAGCTTGTTATTACAGCAGTGCACGGGAATAGGGAAGAGTAGAATCCCAGCTCCATAAGTATTATACTATCTCTTTCTTTAATGGAAAAGAACTCCTCTAAACATCTATTCCTCTTCCTGAGATCCTGGTATGGGAGGAGGAAGTAGTGAGTCATCCTGGTACTCTTGAGTGCTATTGATGATGAGTACTTGTGTACTCGTCCAAGTAACCTTGAGTTCCAAAGTATGGAAAGAAACGGGAAAAGTACAGTGAATTAATTCTCTTCAGAAGTACGAATTAGCTCGTTAAATACGCATGAATGTTGAAAAAAAGAGTTTTTATCGAAAATGCCATTGGTGATGAAGCAGCACCTAAAACCGGTGCCTTTACATGAGCCCTGACTCTAAGTATTGGCAGTTTTTGTGACTACAAGAGTTGAAAGTGTGTGTGGATGCGACAGGAATAGACAGGTTCTTCTTTTCACTCCATTTTTCAAATGGGACTTCCCATCTTCAGTAGCTTGACCAAGAGGTCGATAGCCAGATGAAGGGTTACCCATGCAGAAATGGTGGATCTTTTTTAATGCGGTCCACTCAAGGTGGAGTTGTGTCCATAAGGTCCTCGGCTAAAAAAGTTTGGTGACCACTGATCTACACGGACAGGTAAAAGGTTTTGCTGAATCCAATTTCAAAGTCCAAATGCAAAGACATGAACCTGACGAGGGAACGCTGCTCTCCGGAAGACTGCAACGAATTCGTAGGAACCTGCTAAGAGCGGCTGAAGGCTCCCCTAAGCCCTAAATTGAACGAGGTTTCCTAAAGATTTCGTCTCATTCAACACAGAGAATGCTAGCGCAACGAAATGGAGGCAGTTAAGGACACAGTACAGATTCCGGCTTCGCGGAAGTTGAAGCCTCCGTAACCTGCGTGGAGGCGTTAACAGCATTACCCTTGCCATTTAAGTTTCCATCTAAGTTCCACTTCAAATCGACGTATCTATGTCAGACGGGATAGTATCTATGCCTGATTATTTGGGGGGAATAGAATCCCGTAACGACGTCTTAGCGCAGCTCCATGGTGGCACTGCCTCATAGGCATGCAGAGGTCCAGGGAAAAAATATATATATTTGCGCTGTTTCGTAGGAAGGCCGGCTGAAATCAATGGCGAGGAGTGCGAGACACCAGAGCCCAACATCAGACCAGGGAAATGTATCGGCATCAGAGATTGTGCGGAACTCCTCTCTCTCCTCGGTGGACCGAATCGGAATGTCGAATACGTGAAGCAGTCTGTCTGTTCCGTAACGATCGATGGGGACTTCGGTGTCTGCTGCCCAGTGGCGATGCCTCCTCCTCCCCCGAAAGAAGTAAGTGGATATTTCTTCCAAGGATAGCAAATAAACGCTAAAATGTGGAATCTTTTCAAATTTCACAAAACTTTTATCCAGTAACAAAATGACATCACTGACAATGCCATCGACTTCCTCGAAATCTTATGGCGTTTCCGTGAATACTTTGACGTTTTCTGGGAGATGCTGCAGAAAGATCTTCGAATTTGAACCACAGGATTCGTTCTTTTATCTTCTCAGGAAACTTTCAATAAAATGAAGTTGTTCCCGGATCCTCTCCAGCATGAATGCGGGTATAACGGAAGATGGGAAATGTATAGGGGAGATGCTCCACTCGGGAAATGGAACTGGATGGCTCTGCTTTTCTATCGAAGTAAGCTGAATCTCATGCTGACTTCAATCGGGAGTTTGCCTTGCAGTTCTTTCGGATAAGTCAAATGGATGAACATTCCACATTTCAGTTCCTGGGGGAGGAGTGAAGCCAGGTTGTGGAGGAGCGGTGATCAACAAACGATACGTAATCACGGCTGCCCAATGTTTCAGTCCTGGATATTTTGGCGACGCCAAACTGTAAGTCATAATAACTTTTGCCGATTTCCAATTTCGTCTCCACTGACTTGACATCGTGCTCGCAGCACGTTTGTGAGGCTGGGAGAGCACAAACTGTCGACTAATCCAGATTGCAGTGGGCGAAAGAAACGAACGTGTCAACCTCCGGTCATCGATGCAGATGTGGAAGAGGTCATCTACCATCCCAACTTCACTCAGAAGAGGAGCGAAGAGGGGGCCAAGTTTGACATTGCCCTCATCCGACTCGCCAACGACATCGATTTAAGAGCCGGTAACAAATCAGCAGTCCATGCGTTCCATTGCTGTTCCATGCTGGTACTTCTGAAGGTGTCAAAACATTGAGAAACTTATAGATAGCCGATATCAGGATCTGATAAGCCCCTTGACCGACTCAGATTCTCACGTGCCAATATAGCATCTATTGATTGAGCTTAACGATTGCAACTGCATCAAATTTTTATACTACAAATTTCGTAAAAGTTATTTTCTTCCGCATTACAGAAGGGTGATTCCATGTCGGATCGACCTATTTTCTCATGATTTCCTGGTCGACCATCATCGATTTGGATGAAATTTGGTGAGGAGGTGGTGTTTGACCCAAAAACATGAAATTCAAACTAATTTTTTTTCCTGACCAATGGTGTGTCCGTGGCGAGGTCACAAAATGGTGACCTTTATTACCTGGTCCAGCTGACCTGTTTCCCGACCTGATTTTCCGTTTTTTGTATCCAATATTTTTCGAAAAGTCAAAAAAATTTAATGTTGCCCCAACATTATCAATGTGACTGACTTGTGGTATCGGAATAGGTTGAATTAGCAGCTCAGCACCGTTTACTTAAATTTTGTATCTCATGCTTCAACATACAGCACATCAAGAAATATGACATTTAGGAATTGAGGTGAAATGATGTAAGCTTTTATCTCATTTCATTTCAGACGGAACTGGTTTAGGCAGCAGAGTAGATTCGGATTTGAAGGTGGTTCACATCAATTGGCATGTATGAATGATGTTTCCGGTCTGCTGGAATTGGCTGGACGGACTGGAATCGCGGCTGAAGTGTCATCTCCGTCTACTCGACCTACTCCTTCACATACATGAACTGGATATTTTTCATGCAGGCTTTTTCAAAGTATTGATAGAAAAGGTCTATTGTACTTAGGACGTGTCCGCCGTTTGGCCGCTGGATACTGACCCTTGTGACCAGACGTTTCAAACTTCCTTGAGGTTGCCAAGGACCAGTCTCTTGGTTCGTTGTTCTCGACTGCCATTCTCTATTTTTACAGGGACATAGTCCTTTGCAGCTGGACACGTTCCAGAAACTGAGTCATCATAGTAAAATTGCCTCACCAAATCCGTCGTTGTTTTTGATAGTTTCTTGCCTTCAATCTTCTTTGGTTTCGAAAGGACTCCTGCCTTCTCCCTCACATTTCTTGCCAGTTTCACACCTTACTTGGTGGCTCCAAAGAACTTGACCGACTCATCTAATGTCCAATCTCTTGGAACCATAGTCAGGATCTGGATTTTTACCTCTACACTTTCCGTGCTGTGGAATCTCTCTTTCAGTACATCCAATACCGACTGAAAAGCAATTTTTCCTGAATCAAGATCTATCCTCAGCCTAAGTTCTTCCTATAGGATTTTCTGGCTTGGCTATCGATTCAAATTGCGCTTTCATAGTTGCTGACTTCTTCATCTTGCCTTCTGCATACTATGCCCGACGACTACCAGACAATATTTTTCAGGGTTATATCGATGTCTTGCAGGAGTGTATTGAGTGTTCTCTGTGTCTCACCAGGATATTCTGATGCAGGACAGAATGTCGGATCACATTCAGAAGCTCCTGGTGTGCCGAAGAAAAATGTGCGGAAGGAAGATATCACAGTTTCCTTACGTGAATAAGATTCTTGGAAAGCCTTGTAAACAGTATTTTATTGAAAAGGTTTTCTGTTGTTGTACCTGGCTCATGGCTGGTTGAAAAACCGAATCTGAAGATATACCAGTATGAACTCCATATACGCATAATTAAGACAATATGATTTAGGTCGGCCTAATCCATATTGCCGGAGAAGCAAATAAAAATTTTTACGCTTTCTGAAAATAATGGATCCAAAAACGGAAAATGTAAAGCACATTTTAACACATATCTCGAAACTGGGGCAAAACATCCAACTGAAAATTTATGAGTTTCATTACCATATTATTTCCGTGTTATCTTGTACATTTGGTGAAATTTAAACATTATATTTTTCATATGAAAGGTCAAAGGTCAAACGACTTCGAACTTTTATATAAAATGAGTATACATATTAGATTGAAATAAATTTATAAGATAGTGTTAAAAGACATCTTAAAAAGAAGTCTTAAATGAACATTCTGATAAATAGCTAAGGAGTTATTGAAGAAAGTCTGATAGAGGTCAGCCGGACCTGGTAAAATAGGTGAACAATTTGTGACCTCGCCATGGACACACCATTGGTCAGAAAAAATTAATTAATTTGAATTTCCCGTTTTTGGGTCAAACACTACCTCCTCACCAAATTTCAGCCAAATCGATAATGGTGGACCAAAATCTCTGGTCGATCTGACGTGGAATAGCTCAATAAACCAAATAAACTCAGAGATACCCCAATTACGTTTTAGTCAAGTATAAAATCGACAGCACGCTGGAAGTTCTTTTCTCCCATTTTTCAATTGTCATCAGTTCGCAAAATATCGTTTCATTTGTACCAAATGTATAATTTTTTTGTAGGTAAAATAGTTCCGGTCTGTCTGCCATTTAACAAGTCAATCATTGCACCGGATGGAGATATTTCCTTTGAAAACAGGACTGGTTGGGTGACAGGGTGGGGTTTGACAAGCGTCGGTGAGTTCTCCTATTCTGTATTCCTTTTTTAAATGTTCCCTTGCACTTAGTGGACTTCATAAAACAAGGAGACTAGGAACGTAAGAATAAAACTGTTTTGGAAATGCCATGAAGGTGTGTCAAAACGGACAAATACTTTCTGCTGCAGGAATAATGCTCTTATTTTAAAGTAAATGTGCAATGTTCCTGCAAAGACTAGTCCTAATGAGGCATTTAAATATAAAAGCGAATTAAAATGAATAAGAAAACTATGTCAACTATGTTCATTCCCATATTCCAAGAATGTTTCAGCTCTATAGTGTAAAGGGTTTCTTTTGGTACCCTCAGCATAAAAGAAGCATATATCATAAGGAATTATTTTTGGAAGGTAGAGTCTTTTCCTATATTTCTGTGTTTAACCCTTAAGCATCGGTTGCCGCATATACACGTCAGCCTACGATCGCGGGGATGACGTCTATTAACGCGAGTTTAATTAAATCCGTCGCGTATAAAGGATTTCCCTGAAATTTCATCTGGAGGTATAATGCATCTTGCATTTGCATTCCCCACTCGGAAGGGTACCATTCTCAGAGGCAATTTTGGTGATAAGCTGGCAATCCTCTTGCGTAACCAATTCCAAAAACAATTAAATTAACCGTATGCGAACCCAGGAAACCTTACATTGGAATAACTAACACCGTGAGACTGACCTGGACATCGACCTTTGATATTCCACTGCGGCCAAACTATGGTAAATACAGGGTGACTCATAAGTCCTTGGATACCTTTAATCAAGTGTAGCATTGACTGATGAAGACCAATTCAATTTCTGATTTGATCACTGAAAAGATCACCAAAAAATGAACCATCTATGTTTTTTTTATTTAAAATATCTCCTTTTGAGGCAATAACCTGCTTCAAACGTTTTGGGAAATCATTTATGGTTCTTCGCAGCTGATCAACCGAAAATTCATTCCATGCCTTCAGCAGATCAAGCTTCAAGCTATTGAAATTCTCTTCTGTGGCTTGCAGCAGACCTTGGCTTCCATGTATGACCACACACTGTAATCCAATGAATTCAAATCAGGACTACCAGCAGGCCATTCTTCTGGGGAAATCAAGTCTGGAAAGTGCGTTCTGCAGAAGTCGATGGTGGATTTTGCCTTGTGAGCAGGTGCTGAGTCCTGCTGGAATGTCCAAAGTTAGGATTTGAAATGTTCCTGAGTTCAGGGGAGTAGCACCTTCTTCAATACATACTCCTGATAGTAGCTGGCATTGATCTTTGCCTGAGGCTGCACAAAATGCAGGGGAGTTTTGCCAGAAGCACAAACACCACACCATCACACTACCTGGTTTTTGAATTCGACGGACATATCGCTGGTGAGGCTTGAAGGAGGAAAGTCTTTTACCCCAGAGGCGATTGTTTTGGGGGCTGTAAGCTTGCTCTATGGTGAAAATACTTTCGTCAAAAAAAAAGCAATCCTTTGGAGTGAGGACTGGTTAAACCGTTTGAGCAACTGGCGGGACTTTTGAGCTCGTTTCTTTTTGCCGATCTCTGTAGCAGGAGCAACTTTTTTTTTAAGGCTTCATGCAGAGTTTTCTCCTGATGTGTCCTTGCAAGGTCTCTTTGTCCACTCCCAAGGTTTGCGCAAGCTTTCTTCCGGAACGCTCTGGATTTCGGTATAGCATTCGCCTGACTCGTTTCTGGAGCTTTTTATCCTGGAACACTGAAGGACGTCCACTTTTTTGGCGATCTGCTGCTGATCCAAGTTCATTGTATCGCCGAGTAATGCTGTAGACAGCAGATTGTGGGATTTTGGTGAGCTTTGAGATCCTGCTTGTTGGAAGACTACTCTGGTAGTGAAAAATCACAGCTTTTCTTTAATGTTTGGGAGTCATATCAAGGGCTTTCGACCTGAAAATTGGTTGGCAAATAGATCTGTAGTAAATGTTGCTTCGCTAAAAAAATCACGTGGCTATCACATGTCCATCGGTTTTTACAATAGGTGTCCAAGGACTTTTGAGTCACCCTGTAGACCTTTAAGATTTTGCATGCATCAACTTCTATGTATATGCTATTAATTCCAATAGCCATTTTGTAAATCCAAGGGGTCGCTTTAGCTGTCTCTGGGGATGGTTAAGCACTGTCCTCCAATGACTACACTTAATGACTTAATGACTACACTCATTTTATTTTTAAAAGTTTGTGTTTCCTTTTCATATGAAATACTGTTCAATGGTAAAATAATGTAGATATCGGGATACACCATAATAAACTTTTATGACAACTGGAACAATTTTTTCTCTGAAGCGAGAAATTTGGGGGGGAAACTTCCCTCTTACAAAAAAGTGCCCCCCTGGGGATGTTCCCCAAAGTTACGAATTTCTTCAAGTCTGCACCCCTACACTTGTGTATCAAATGTCTGCTTTCTACTGGGTGTCCCATATGAAACGGAACCGAACTCTGGAAATTTATATTCACTACGTAAAGAGTGATAGAACTACGGCAATTGCACGAAATTTCTGGGAATACACACAATACAGTGCTAGTACCTAGCAGTTTCTCACGCTCACTGCTAGGTACTAGCAGTTTCTCACTCTCACTGCTAGGTACTAGCAGTTTCTCACGCTCACTGCTAGGTACTAGCAGTTTCTCACTCTCACTGCTAGGTACTAGCAGTTTCTCACGCTCACTGCTAGGTACTAGCAGTTTCTCACGCTCACTGCTAGTACCTAGCAGTGAGCGTGAGAAACTGCTGCTAAGGCGTTGATTGATTGGCAGATTGCCCGTTTATAGCAATCTCATACAATGAAAATAGTTTCATCATTCATAATTTAGTGAATATACATTTCCAAAGTTCAAGTTGGGTTTTGTATTGGATACCATGTATTTTATCTGGAACATGTTTAGAATTTACGTACGTCGCTATCGTTTTGATATTTTAGGTAGTTCATATTCCTGATTTGTTTGTAGCTATTGCAAATGAAAAGAACCAAATATCGAAGCCTGTACAACAACAGAGGGACTCATGAACTATATTGGAGTGCAACTTTGACATGGTTAAGTGAGCTCCTTGACTTGCGCGTCACCCACTGTTTGAGACTCACAAATAACTTTTTTTCTCTTAAATTATTTAGTTTAATTTTGATGGCATTAGAAGTAACGAAATGGGAGCTAAGAAAGTGACATATTCAAGACCTTCCTATCTCAATTAGGAGCGAACTGATTGCACGTGTTGTGCGGTAGTAACCCAGGAGGTACTGTGGTGCCAAAACAAGCATGTGCTTTATCCTCGCTCATTCAAATCACATTTCAATTAAGTTCGATATTCATTACTTCCAATCCTGGTAAGGATTGGAATCATCGTTCGCTACATTTGTATGTGTATTATGATTGCTGGCAAAACTGATGAGTGCTAATGTTTCATGTTACACCATTAGCCAATTATTATCATTATTATTATCGTTATGTTGGACATTCATGGCAAGTGCAGGCAAAAATGAGTGAAGGGTGTTGAACCACACCCCAATCATCACGCTTATTTAGTTCTGGAGGGCCCTGCGGAGGATGTTAGCTGTGCCCAAGATGGCCGTAGGCTGCGAGATATCTAGGGATATGTGACGCCCCAACTTTTACATTTGGTTCTTGCTGTCTTTCAAGACCACGCCGGTTGTACGATCATGATGGGAACGATGGTGGTATTCATACCACATAAACGCTCCACTTCCACTTTAAATTCTGAAAATTATTCGAGATTCTCCCTGGTCGTGATTTGGAGTTGGTGTCAGCCGGTATGCTCACGTCAACCTTTACGGCGGTGTCTTCCATGTCGCAGTTCGTGTGGTCTGATTGTTACAGACTATTGTGCGGTCTGTTATTATTGTCATGTCCCAGAGTACTTTTGTAGAAAAATTCTCCACCTCAGACTGGGGGATATGTTCGTACAACTTTTCTGAGACATCCATGGCAGCATTCTTGCAGACACAACAATGAACATCTTTGCACACTTGATTGTGCCTGTACAAGTATTGATGGGGGCGAGCTTCTGGCACCCATTTTTAGGGGGTGGTAGACCGTTTCAGATTGGTCGTGACAGACCGGCAGCGGTCTTTGACATCTAACTCCAGGATGTGCTTATTATTTTTATTATTATTATTATGTTTTACATTAATTTGAAATTCATATCCCGCCGGCCTGCTTCCTTAATTCGGCAATGAGCCTTCCCGTGAGGGCTTTCAGCCCACCCTATCATTCCTCGGTGCAAGCGGACAGGTGTTAAAAGGATCCCTTACGCTCCCAACAAGGGCGGTAAGCCAGGGTCCTTTCGCCTGGCAAGTGGGCCCGAAGACCCCTGGGTCTGGGGGTATGGGGACCCCAGGATTACCTGTTTTTCCATGTTTTTGGACAGAGATGAATCTACTGGCCGACAGGCTAGAATTCTTTCAATTGTCGACTGCGACCTTCATCTCTCCAAGGCACCTGATGATCACGACCACGAGCGCCACTTTGTATCCAGTACATGTTTGTTGAAGTTGGAACATGAGGTTCAAATACTATGCCCTTTCTCTTCTTTCGCGCTGATGCTTTCCTCGGCTGGACAGGGAGATCAAGATCACGCTGTCCGCACCCTAAATATTGTTATTATTAACATTTTTCGTTATTATTACTATTACTTACCATGAAAGAGAACTTTCTGACCTTATTCTGACCCGAAATCTGAAAAAAAACCTAGAATGGATGCTACAGTAGTAAGTATTGTTGTTTGAAATAAATGAAATTATTTTGACGTTTTTGTTCTTCGCGACACTGGAGAAATGCAACATTTTGTCAATTCAGCTGCCATATCTTCCAATTCCTGTGCAATTTTGTTCTGGACGATATAGAACATGATTTTTGTTTTCTATCAGCGAGACCGAACAATGGAAGTGACGTCTTACAACAGCTGAAGGTGCCGATCGCCCCGTTGACGAAATGTGCCGCCACTCCAATTTACAAGAATGTGGAATTATCAGAGGAACAAGTCTGTGCCGGAGGAGAGCCTAATAGTGGCCCTTGCAAGGGAGAGCAAGGGGGGCCGTTGGTTGTTTCGAGACCTCCAGAAATTTTTGCTCAGTATTTTCTCATCGGTGTTTTCTCCTTCGGTACTCCATATTGCGGGCTTCTTGCTGCTCCTAGTGTATACACTCGGGTCACTCATTATCTCGACTGGATCCTCCAGCACGTCCGGGAATGACCTACCGCATCGTTCTCTGCCTCATATATCTATTAACATCCGAAATGCTTAACTTTTGAAAACTCACTTGAATGAAGCAGAACCACGGCCTAGCATGTGGATTTCAATGAATGATATGAAAATTATTTAGAAAATAAAGACAATCACAGATTTAAAGAAAATGTATTGATTTATATATATGTATATATATATATATATATCCTCTACTCTTCTGTCTGGCTCTCAACCCTCTCAGTACTGAGCTAGCTCGGACTGACTGTGGTTATTACGTAGGAAAGGGGAAGAATGCAGACCATCGCATGAACCACCTTCTCTACATGGACGACCTGAAACTCTACGCCTCCAACGAGAAACAACTCGAAAGCCTTCTCAACGTCGTCAGCATCTTCTCGAAAGACATCTGCATGAAGTTCGGACTCGACAAGTGCGCAAAGC